ATTAAAATCAATTTCATCTGTTTCTTTTAATATGTCCACAGAAATACTTTAAATTACAAATGTGACTCACATTTCATTTCTATTGGAAGGTGCTGATTTAGACATTGTCTTAATAACATATTTAACAATAATTCAAAAATCTGATGAGTGAGATATAGTAGTTGATTCCTTGCTGTAGCACACTAAATAACATTTTGAGTGAATGAATATAAAGAAGTTCTTTAGTATATAATTTCGTTATCTTTTATCAACTCCTATGTGAGGTCAATACATCTGCCCTTGAGATGTAAAATGTTTTAGAAATGCCATTAGCACTTTTTCAAGAAGTCACTCCATTCTCAATGATTATAAAACAGTACATTAAATATTAGACATATATTTGAATTCACTATCCACTTTATTATTTACACAGTGAATATTTCCTTTATGTATGCTCTGCCTGAAATAAACATATTTTTGTAGGCATCTATTTCACTGGCTTAAACATATCTGCTTGTTATGGAATTAAAGGCTTAGACTTCAGGAAAAGAAGAAAATCTGTGTGGAAATAATTTGTTCACTTGCTATTTTAACATTAAGACCATAACTGAGGAGAGTTTTTATACATTTGACATTGTATCTTAGTTTTTGAATTATTTTTCAAAAATATCAATGTCTGTCTTAACAGATAAAAGCATGTCCTCAGAATATGGTCTCTTCCAATTCTAAGCTTATACTGACCCCTATGGGTTATTGTGTCCTAATCTATTTTTGGCTTATCCTTTCAGAATATTTAGTAAAACACTTAAACATGTTTGCATTTAGGATATAATTAATTTAGTATGAAAGCCATAAAATACTTTTTATATTTTTGTCTCCTTGGATTATATAACAAACTATGCACAAATTTTATTCATCCTTTATTGAGGGGGGCCAAGATGTTTCAGTCCTCATTATATTTAGTATCAATGTACTAAGGACAAGAGAACTAAGTAGTATAATTTCTAATTTCCAGAAAGATATGACCTGATTATTTTCCTTAATATCTGTTCAACTCTCACAATATTTCATAGACGTAGACCATTTATTGGATAAAAGTTAAAGTTTATACAGAGATTTGTGTAAAGGCAGGAAGGATTATGGGACCAAAGATAAGTATAATTTCAGTCAACCTTGATGGAGAGACATTGATTCTTGGTTACACTGGGAATTTTTAATGTTGATATACAGGATTCCAAACCATACCCTTATGGTTTGGTTGATTATTTATTAATTTTTAATTTTTTTTTTTAATGAAATGGAGTCTTACTCTGTCACCCAGGCTAGCATGCAGTGACACAATCTCACTGCAACCTCCACCTCCCAGATTCAAGTGATTCTCCTGCCTCTGCCTCCTGAGTAGCTGGGACTACAGAAGCCCACCACCACACCCGGCTAATTCTTTTAAGTAGAGATGGCGTTTCACCACATTGGCCAGGCTTGTCTTGAACTCCTGACCTCAGGTGGTCCACCCACCTCGGCCTCCCAAAGTGCTGGGATTACAGACATGAGCCACCGCACCCAGCCTATTTTTACTTTTACAGAGATTAAGTCTTGCTATGTTGCCTAGGTTGGTCTCTAACTCCTGGGATCAAGCTGTCCTCCTGCCTCAGTCTCCAGAGTGTTAGATGTGAGTCACTGCACCCAGCATATCCTTATGAATTTCAATAGGAATTACAAGAGGTGGTGAAAGGTTATAGACATTTATTTTCGTTTATGCTAAAGACATGGTTTTATTGCCATCCTGGTGAATTCTGAAAATAAAATTCTTATTTTTAGTATTATCTCAAAAATTAACTGGGCCAGGCATTTTGGCACGTGCCTGTAATCCCAGCTACTCAGGAAGCTGAGGTTGCATTGAGCTGAGATCAGGTCACTGCACTCCAGGCTGAGGTTGCAGGAGAATCCCTTGAACCTGGGAGGCGGAGGTTGCAGTGAGCCGAGATCAGGCCACTGAACTCCAGCCTGGGCTACACAGCAAACTTACCTCTCAAAACAGCAACAACAACAAATTTAAATGATAACCTACAAGTCTATATTTGAGAATAACTTACATAAACTTAAATTTTGTACCTAAATCACTCTGAAATTTCATTGGTTAACATCGATTTTTGTGAATCCATTATTGAAATTTTTACTATGACTAGGATAAGCTTGGTAATCCTGCTTTACATTTTTCTCAGGGTACAATGATCGCAGCTATAGCATATCTGGGAGATTCTTTATTTATCCATATGTAAGAATGAATGTGGACTATCTTCTAAGGCAAACCTTAAGCCTGACTATAGTACTCCACAGTTCTCTCAGCCCATTCCTGTGCATGTCTATTCTGACAAGCATTTTGGTCTTTTTCCTGAATTTCCCTAAGAGACTATTAATTTTACATACCATTTATTTGAATGTCAAAGTTTATATCTTGTCCTTAATTGACAACACGGAGCATTCATGCTCTGATTCTTGACAAAGTACAGAACCTTGAGCTCTCTAATGCCACATATGAATCAAAAGTCTAGTTATAAAAAATGATATTCTAGGAGGACTGCCAGAAGGCTATGAAGTCCATCCTTCCCTCCATCAGTATTTCTTAAACTATATTCCACAGAATAATTATAGTGCATATTAATACATATTTCATAAGAAAAAAAGATTTTTCAAGGTCAAGTTTAGAACATATTAGGAGTGAAGGAATTCAACATGCTAATATGCAGTAGCAGGCAGTACCTTCTAAGCTTATCTGAAAATTTTTTCTGGTATGGCTACTTAGTAACATTCTCAAAAAAATAATTATTTCTTTCTTTTTTTTTTTTGGCCCACTAGCCCTTAGTCAAGTCAGAGAACTGAGTTATTAGATAGCATGGTTTTTTTATTTGTTTGTTTGTTTGTTTTGAGATGGAGTTTTGCTCTTGTCGCCCAGGCCATGCGCAGCGACAAGATCTGGGCTCACTGCAACCTCTGCCTCCTGGGTTGAAGCAATTCTCCAGTCTCAGCCTCCCAAGTAGCTGGGATTACAGAGGTGCATCACCATGCCCCACTAATTTTTGTATTTTTAGTAAAGATAGGTTTTTGCCTTGTTGACCAGGCTGGTCTCGAACTCCTGACCTAGGTAATCTGCCCGCCTTGGCTTCCCAAAGTGCTTGGATTACAGGTGTGAGCCACCACGCCTGGCCAGATAGTATGTTTTGTACTAATTTACTTACTTAGACTAATTTGTATTTTGGCATTATAAGTTATAAATGTGTTACAGGAAGTCACCTGGAGAAATGGTTGCTCCTACCGAAATACTGGTATATATTGAGAAAACTATGCTTTGAGTTGCGTTTGGGTTCAAATTTGAAAAAGTCATCATTTTAATTTTTTTTCATAGTTGGCAAAGAGAAAAACAAGACTGGTGTCTAAGACTTTTCTAACTAATAAAATAGTCTATAATTTATATCCTGTGTGTTCAATTAAATGTTGTATATATAACAACTTAAGTGAGCAAATTCCACTCCACATAGCCTGTAAGTTACATAAATTTTTTAAAGGTATTTAAAGGCTAAGTGTTACATTCCAGAAAGGTTAATAAGGACTTTTGTATTTAACACTGAATATCTCAGGGGAAAAAACTCTGTTGAATAGGGCACGAACTTATGAATATCTCAGAAACCCTCTTGAATGTAGCAAGAAACAAGATTCTGTACAAATTTAAAAGACTCATTCTCCATTTGTCTAATCAACATACTTTCCACGACCTTAAAGTTACTTGCATGTAAGTGTTTTTTGTCTTTTTCTCTGGTACTCTGAACATTTTAAGGACTTAATAGGATTCTTTTCTCCCATAAATAACACACTAAGTTTAGCACAATTAAAAACACTGTTAGGTTTCTAATTTCCATTTCCACAAAATATATATATATATATATATATAATTTTTTTGAGATGAGCTCTCACTCTGTCTCCCAGGCTGGAGTGCAATGGCACAATCTCGGCTCACTGCAACCTCCGTCTCCTGGGTTCAAGCAATTCTCCTACCTCAGCCTCCCTGAGTAGCTGGGATTACAGGTGTGCACCACCATGCCCAGCTAATTTTTTGTATTTTTAGTAGAAACAGGGTTTCACCATGCTTGTCAGGCTGGTCTCGAACTTCTGACCTCGTGATCGGCCCACCTCAGCCTCCCAAAGTGCTGGGATTACAGGCATTTTCACAATTCTTTAAACTTTATGGACACTGTATTATAACTAATACTTTGCTTTAGTTGTGGTCTACAAAACCACTGATAGGGCAAAGAAGAAAAAGACAAGGTTGTCCCTTAGTGGTTGCAATAATTAGGAGTAGGGATTCTAACATTCTTCGATTCCTAGGTGTTTACCCCACCTCCACCCATGCAATTTTTGTAGATTTTACGATATTTTCTTATTATTGGTTATGGGAATGACCATTTCAAGTTTGAGCTGTTTCCCAGAATATTTTCAAGAACCAATAATTCTAAAAAAATAACTGGAACCTTTATATGAATGCATTCCCTGCAAATGTGCATCATCACCTAATATGCAACTGTTCCACATATCTCAACAGCTCCTGACATTTGAAAACAATGTTTGAGGTTTTATAATTAATACGTCTTATCCAACTAATTAAAAATAATTTTAATGTGCAAATTTCTTTTAACATCTTAATAGGATAAGAAATATGTCAACAGCAAACAGAAATGATAGAGAAACTGAAGCACGCAGATTAATATAAATATCCCAATATAACTTGTTCGAGCAGCGGGCTACAAGAATATGTTGCGAACGTAAGTGAAAAACAGGATGCAAACGTGGGAAAAATGGGAAATAAGTGGAGTGAGGACGGACAAACACTGAGAAGGAAGAAGCAATCCTCTAAACAGCAGAGAGGTTGCTCAGATAGAGTTGGGCAAAACGTCAACTCCCACCTCAGGTCTATACTCTACTGGTGCCCAAATTCAAGTGAATGGTAATTAAAGGCGGGTTTTGCTCACATCGTTTTCTTAATTTGGCAAACTACGGTCTCCACATTAGCCATAAGCTTCCAGCCAGCAGTCTTTGGAAAACTCTCGGAAAAATGACAGCCGCGATCTCTGAGGACGCGCATGCGCAACCTGAGCGCACCGCGCTCCTTGCCTTAACCAACCCATGCCTGGAAGGAAGTGACGCGAAGCTGAGGGGTGGGTTGGGCTCTTCGCCGGAAGTGTCTCGCACATAGTAAATAATCTCAGAGAGGCGAGGGAGACTGTCTCCATCTTGTCTGCACCCGCGGCTCTTTTGACGTTGTGGATATGGGGAGCGTCCTGGGACTGTGCTCCATGGCGAGCTGGGTAAGGTGCTTTTTGCGGCCTCTGGGGTACTAATGTGAGAGACTATAGAGAAGGCGACCCAAGCCGGGGCTGGGTGAGCCAGGCTGGAACCTGGTGCCCCACCCAACAGGGATGACTCCTCTGTCCCCGTTTTCTTACCTTCTCCTCTTGTCACTCTGATTCAGCTTCAGGGCTTTAGGTCTTGCGAAGAACTGATTACTGGCCGTAAGGTGTAGTGGCGATGGGAAGATGACCCAAGTGCAGGAAGAGAACTAGAGTAGTGCCCCTCCCCCACCCCGCTTGTGCGCCCAGTCTCCCATTCTTTCAGGTCCCTTTGGTTGTTTTGTTTGTATCTGCCTAGTCCGTCACTACAAACGTCTTTGGCCATTTCCTTCTGTGGGGTACCCACTCTGTTGTCATGTCTTTCGTCTCTTTCCTGGTGACCTTAGACTGTCGCACTGTCGTTCCGGGAGTCATGTCGCCCTCTTTGTTCTTTGGCGCAGGTTATGATTTAAAAGTGCCTGTCGTCATTTGGGACCGCCTGGCAGTAATGTTAATGTAGTAATACTGTTTTTGAAACAAATAGTCGTAGCAGAGCTATGACTATTTGAAGTGTCCATTTCAAATTTCAACTTGAAATTGAAATTTTCAGTTGACACACGCATGTTTTGTGCCTAAAGACAAAATTGTCAGTAGGCAAAAGGCATGCGTCTGTCATCTGAAATTTCATGCTTAGCTGTACGTTGCATTTTCATTAAAGTGTTGTTAGAGTAAAACCATTTTCAGTATAGTGGCAAGACTTTTTGGTCCATGTGGCACAAATTTCAGTTTACTTAAGATAACCTCTGCCCCCTCCAAAAGAGAAGGGAAAACATTGGCAGTGCAGTTAACAAAGATATTTGTAATTTTAGTAGAGGTTTTTGGATTCAAATCACTTTTCTTTAGTCTGGAATTTGTTAATTCTGTTTCTAACAATTGCTTTTCTGACTTCCCAAATGATTCCGTTATATATACTTTAACCACCATATTGATTATTTTACATACGTCTTTTCAAAAAGGTTTGATATGTCTTTAACTAAAAATGTTGAATTTTAATCAAATAATAATGTAGAAGTTGTTACTCCATCCACGCTGTCCTCTTGATTACGCGTTATTGCTTCTTGCATGGAAACGTGGTATATTTTATTTCAATAAAGATATTAGAGAGTTTAATTATTGACATTTGTACAAAAGAGGCATAATGTAATAAACACTGTTGAAAACATAAGTGATTATGTAAGATTGTTTTCATCAGTTTTTTTAAATTGGTGTTATGCAATTTAATTTGTAATGTCATATCTCATCCAGTTATGAAGTGTGCATGCTGTAGTTTTTTGTACTTAATATTTAAAAGGTGAGATACATGTTTTCCATTTTACAGCACAGATTGCCTTTTTTGATTAGAAGAATGTCTGTGATAAAATTGACACTACCTTTTAGTTGCTGTGTTAATAGCGAAATACATTAGAAAGGTAGCAGCAATGAGGCAGTATTTTAGAAACAGGGTTTCAAGTATGTTGCGCGGGCTGGAGTGCAGTGGCTAGTCTTAGTGAACTGCAGCCTGGAACTCCTGGGCTCAAGACTTACTGCCTCAGCCTCAGATAGCTGGGACTGCAGTCAGGTGCTCCCGTGCCCAGTTTGGAATTTATTTTATTGTTTAGTTTCAGTAAGCTTTTTCACTTTTCTTCCTGTGCCTCTGTCTCTATTCATTAATTGTTTGATTTTAGTGCAGGCCAATAGTCATTGAAGGGGACCACCTCTTCCACATTCTTAACAGTTGATATGTTCATTTACTTAGAGGTTTTGATGAAATGAAAATTTATTTAACTTTTCAAAAGTCACATTCAGGGCTGGCCATGGTGGCTCATGCCTGTAATCCCAGCACTTTGGGAGGCCGAGGTGGGTGGATCACTTGATGTCAGGAGTTGGAGACCAGACTGGTCAATATGGTGAAACTCCGTCTCTACTAAAAATACAAAAAAAAATTAGCTGGGCAGGGTGGCGCATGCCTGTAGACCCAGCTACTTGGGAGGCTGAGGCAGGAGAATTGATTGAACTGGGAGATGGAGGTGCACTCCAGCCTGGGCAACAGAGCAAGACTCCGTCTCAGAAAGACAAAAAAAATTAGCTGGGTGTGGTGGCACACACCTGTAATCCCAGCTACTTGGGTGGCTGAGGCAGGAGAATTGCTTGAACCCAGGAGGCAGAGGCTGCAGTGAGCCAAGATCACACCAGTGCACTCCAGCCTGGGCAACAGAGTGAGACTCCATCTCAAAAACAAAACAAAATAAAAAACAGACCAAAAAAAAAAAGTAACATTCAGATCATTAAATTAGATCAGGTATGCCAGAATTAAAAACAAACCAACCTCATTCTTTCTTAGTACAAGTTTCTACAGGCTTAATCAAATTTAGTAAAAGCTTCTTTCTTATTTGCAAAATAATCGTAGAAAATTTCTGAACTAAAAAGAGACAAATTATGTGTAATACCACTGAGCAGAAATTGGAGTGTTAAATTGTTCACTTTTTGTTTGCTGCTAAGAGGCCTAGAATTAGATTGATCATAATCCTTGGTTCATAGCAGTATAATTTTTTATTCATGCATGTTTGTCTCTTTTTTTGAATTACTTTAAACATTATAAACATCATACCAACTAATCCTATACTACAGCATTACCAGCCAATAATACCTACTTACATGCTTTCCCCATCCCAGTCTCAACATTTGTGTTAGTGAGTAGACAGAACAGTACCTATCAAGATATTTAATATCGTTAAGTCATTAAGAAAGAACTAGTGATTACTGGGTGACCATTTTGTTCCAGTCTCTTCCAAATTTTTGTTGATACAATGACTTGTTTTATAGAAAAGATTTATAATTGCTATGAATGGTCAAGCAATGCAGAGTAAAAATTAAGTAAAAATGTCTCCCCAAAATCTTCTCTCACAATGCATATATTGCAAATAGGTGGATGAATAGACAAAGATATATTCTTAGGCATGGCAGCATTTTAAACACATTTTTAAGCAAAGCATTGAATTTAATTTTTCTTGAATTTAACAAAAGAAAAATAAAAATTAGGCCTGACACGGTAGCTCATGCCTGCAATCCCAGCACTTTGGGTGGCCGAGGCGGGTAGATGACAAGGTCAAGACTTTTCTCTAGCTGTGTGCATCTCTCAGTAAGTTCAGATACATGTAATGATTGATCGAACCTTGGAAGTTATCCCTACCAGAATCTTCTGACCTGCTCTAGTCTATACTGGTAGTCACTGGATCTCACTTTATCCTCAAATGAGGATGTACATTTTCTGTCTCTTAGGTCGAAACCTTTTTTGCATTGCTTGTTTTCTTTTGTGGTTGACGACCATGTTTTGGTATAGTGCTCCGTAACAGAAGCACATAGGAGGTATACTTTGGTCTTAGAATTCTAGATGGGAAGTCATTTTCCCTCAGAATTTGGATGCTCCTTTGTAGACTTGCAGTGTTGCTGCTGGGTATTCTAAAGTCATTTTAGAAACTTTTTCTATGTGACCTCTCCCTCCTTCCCTTCTCCACCAGTTAATTACATTTCTTGAGTTCTTTAATTTTGTCACCTGTATTTTCTGCATTGTCTTTCTGTTACTCAAATAGTGTGCTTCCTGGACTGAAACTCCAGGTTTCTTCCTTCCTGCCTTTTGAGTCTGCCTTCTTTTACTTAGCCTAATTCATTTGAGTTTCATTTTTCATTTATATGTTCTTATTGTTGAGTATTGTTATTATTTGGATTTACCACAATTTATCCATTCACCATTTGAGGAACATTTCCAGGTTTTGATGATTACAAATAAAGTAGCTATAAGCATTCCCATAAAGGTTTTTTTTGTGTGTATAATTATAAGTTCTTATTTCACTTGAATAAATATCTGAATGTGGATTTGCTTATTCATACAGTAAGTGCATGTTTGATTTAAAAATAATAAACAGTCAAACTGGTTTCCAAATGGTTGTACCATTTTTCATTCCCAACTAATTGTTCTGCATTCTTGTCAGTAGTTGGTATCATCAGTTTATTTCATTTTAGCTGTTCTTTTTTTTTTTTTTTTTTT